TTAGGGATATATAAATAGTTTTATAAATATTAAAATTTTGAAAAATGGTTAATTATTTCACCAACAAATAATTTATCAGTTAATTTTTGAAACATAACCTTAAATCAAATGTTATATTTATAAGCATTTATTTTTATTTAAAATAAGTTAAATTCTTTCATTAAATACATAATATAATACTAGAAGTGTACTCGTGCAATATATCGAGACATATTTTGATTTCAACGTTTCGTTTTATTTTTTATCTATATCGATATAATATGATTTCATCGAGACATAGAGCTTTAATAAGTTGTACTTATGCACAATTTACTTCTAATCTTGAATTTTAAGTAATATGCATCAATAAACAGTATTTCATACATAAAAAATGATTTTTAAGAGTTTTTGTAAAATATAATATAATATAATCCTTTGAACTTAGTTGCATCAATACCAAATTTGTACCGGGAGGTGAAAGGTTGGGTTCACGTGAGACCAGTCTGTTTTCGTGAGACCCATGAGACTATTTTTTACACTTGAAAATAGTGTGAAGGTTACCTTCATGCATTTTGCTGTGAAGTTTAAGTGTAAAAAAATGGTCTCACAGACCTTACGAAAACAGGTTGGTCCCACGTGATCCCAAGTCTACATACATATATACACACACACACACACACACACACATATATATATATATAGAGAGAGAGAGAGAGTCGGATTCATACGAGAAAGATATGTATTTAAGTAAATAAGATAATGAATATGGACCATATATTTCACTAAATAATATCTTAAATAATTAATTCTAAAAATAACTAAATGGTGGCATAAAAATAATTTAGTTATATAAAAATTATTTAAAGTATTTATTTAATATTCTGCTATTACCATATTTATGATGTTAATATGATTTAACTTTTTATTAAAAAAATATTTTATATWTAATACATTTAAAATAAGTGGATTTAGTTTTCATTTAAAGAATTATTTTTTAGTAGAAAATATTTAAAATATATATAAATTTAGTCAAAATCACATGTGATTCACAATTAATATTTTTTTTTCAAAATTTTTTCCTAATTATATGTATTTAAATTAACAATTATAATGAAAAGAGAATCACATTTGATGTGTTATAAAACACATTTAAAATGTATAAGATCACGCGTTTCAGAACGTAATTCTAATTTACACATATCACATATATGATACATTGACGAAAATTAGCATTTTTTTTGAAAAAAAAAATCGATTGATTGTGGATATCATATATGATTTTTGACGAAAATTGTAAAAAAAAAATTTAAATAAACTACTTCAATAAAAATAAATATTTTAAATGAAAAATTAAACCACACGTATTTTAAATGTTGTAAAAATAAAAATAAAAAATAAAAAAATAA